GCACCTTCTCTGTAGCAGCACCTGCCCTCTGGAACAAGGTTCCCCCCGAGATCCAGGTGCTGTTGTTTAGAAGAGCTGTGAAGACCTGCCTGTTCACCCATATCTTCAACATTTAAGAGGGAGACCCCCTCACTTTATTGTGCTTGCCATCTTTTATGTTTTATGGATTCTATTGTAATTTCTTTGTTTGATTGTTGCGAGCCACCCAGAGTGGTTGAGAGTTGGGTGGCATGCAAGTTTAATAAATTGTTGTTGTTGTTGTTGAGAAGTTATTGGAATAAAATGAAAGAAGAGGTAAGCTGCCTTGAGCTCAAGGAGTAAAGCTGGGATAGGAATGAAACCAACAATAAACCCCTGAAGAAGGTATAGCAACTCATGTAGCACATTTCCCTACGTGGATGTGCCAAGATCAGCTCAACTGAGTTTTTATCTTTACCTAGGTAGAAACTGTAAGCTTTTACTCACCTGTAATTTTTTATTCATTTTCTTAGCATCTAAAAGAGATGCCAAGAAAATTAGCAGCATATGCAGGCAGGACAAAAGGCAATGGCACTTTATTTTAAATTCCAGAATCTGGAGAAGTGTAACGGGGCACCTCTCAATTTACCTGGTTATACCCTCTCCTTCCAGCATTTCAATATCAGCTTTAAATACATTTCTTGTAGATAGGCAAGCCTCAGAGTCAATAGGACAATGCAAACAGAGGAGAGGAAATCACAGAAACAATGTAGAGGGAACAGCCTGATGGGCTTCAATGGTCAGGAGTCTGAACCATCAGCAGGAATCAAGAACAGTGCTGGACACAATCCACAGTACTCATGGAGTTACAGTACAGGCACGGAACATGCTTTGGTAAGAAGACAAAGAAAGTATGCTAGTGGACAGGCAGAGGTCAATCTTAGTTGAGTTCCATCTAGGAGACTCAGTCTCTTCAGTATCTCTTAAGTGGTGAGAGAAAGATCCAGTAAAGCTGAGGATACATTGGAATAATAGTGGAAAAACCGGCAGGAAAACTCAAGGGTAGAGGAACAAGAAAGAAGGAAAATATGGAGGTAGCTTCTCCCTTTCTAAGATGGTCATGAGTAAAACAAAGGAAAATGAGAAGAAACTCTTCTTCATGAAGCTATGTAGCATAAAATGTTGCAAAATGTAAGCAGAGTAAAAGATACAGAAATGTAAAATTTCTACAACAGTGACATTGTTCTCTTCTAAGAAGCCCAAATATTGGACCAGAGAACAGGATAGTATTGCCCCTCTTACACAGGGTTTTCTGAAAGCAGATTCCAGAATTACTTCCCCTTACTCACAGTTATCTAGGCCAAAGATATGTTTTTCTTAACTGACAGCATGTGGTGTGGGATTTGCAAAGTCTTGGAGGCAGTTTAAATACAGATCTCTGGTGTGTCTTCAGTAGTTTTTCCCCTGTCCTTGCCCACACATACTGCTAGTGAAATATGGATTATGGGATTCCTTTGGGTGGAAGAAAAAGCAAAGAGCTTTTCTGTAAAATTTATGTTAATAGCCAATGAATAATAAAGAGAATCAGACCTACCCAGCATTGGTGTCTCTTCCCAGCCACCCATCTTAACTCTGATTTAATCAACCAGACGTTGTGGCATCTTAAACTCAGATTGATTGCATTAGCCATAAACAGGTGTAATATAATAGGGAAGCAAATATTGTTGTAGGAAGACACAAGAGGAGTTCTTCCCAACCTCTGAAGATATGCACTAACTTACTGGACCACATCCGATGTTAGCTAATGTAGTAAGTAGTTGTAATATAATGACTAACATAATGTATGTTCAACAGATGTACGGCTGTGACTTTTGATCAAACATGAATAACAGAATTAGTCCCCTTTGTTCCAAGTGAGCATTATAAAGTTAAAATATCTAATATCCAGTTACAGCAAATATTGGAAGAGCAATGCTGCCATCTTATGGCATATTCTCATATTGGCAGCTATCTGGATCTGTTGATTCTACTATTAATTCCAGTTAACCATATTAGTAAGAAAACTGAATAGGGATTACATTTTTAAAATTGTATTGCTGAAGGCATCTCTGTATAAATGGAGAATATGAAATTAAAGAAGAAAAGCTAAATGGGAAAGCAAAAAGAAGAGATTGTACTTATTGAATACAACTATAACATTGTTCCCATTTTAATTACTATATCTGCTGGTGTTCTGTTCTATTCGGGCAATTTTTCAAGGCTTCTTATGGAAATGTTTACTTAATTGAATGGCCTTATGTAGACAAGTTGGATGGATGGATGATTCTTCTGTTTACAATGCTCCGTGATTGAATGGAAATAAATATAGGCAAGAAAGCAGCAATCAGAAGGAAAATTTGACACTGAAAAAGCAGATTTCCCTAAACTTTCCTCTTTTTCCTAAAGAATTTTCACTTTACTAGAACCCAAAGTTTCTTCGGTAACATCATGCCTGACAAATATTCAAGAAAACCCCAGCCTTTGTTTTCTCTGAAGTTTTCCTTTATGATCTTCTTTGAGGAAGTTCATCAGTCGCATTGTTTGTTTGAAAGTCCCTGGAAGAACCTTGATTTCCAAGAAAGAGTGATTCAGTAGTTATTTAAGAGGAACAATATGAATAACCGTTGAGATGGCCTTGGTATTAACTGTCCACTACTCAAACCCACTACTCAGTTGTAAATGAAATGTTTTGCATGTAAGAAGCTGCCAGGTCAACACGGGTGTTTTCAGCCACAGATGGAAAAGTTTCTGCTTGAGATTCTGCTGGTTGATCTGGACCTCTCTGCTCAAAAGTCTCTGAACCCAGGATCTGATTCAAAGAGGCAGGGCCACACAGGTTCCTGGGAGAGGAGGAGCTCCTTTTTATTCAGTTTATAAAGGGAGCAATTTGGGCATCAGACAAGCCTTATCAGAACAAATAATCACTTCTTCCCCAGCTTCAGCACTGATGATTAGTTTGCATTCTTTTGTGTGGGCAGTTTGTCCCTTTCTCTAACAAAGCATGGCGTAATAAAGCAGTTCATGCTTTATTTTTCTTCCTGTAAAGTTTGGTTCTCCAAAGCTTTCAAGGTCAGCGTATTTTAACCCCTCATGAACTCAGTTTAATGTGTGTGTTCCTAGTATGTAACACAGTATTTTACTGATTACTAGGACCAATCCTATTTGCCCATTTAGGTTTAAGGAAGGGTCTTACAAAACTAATTGGCAATTTACCAACCCTCACAGAGCTGACAAATGACCTTGGGTTGGCTGGTAAATCTTTAATCTTCTGTCTTCCATTTATCTTCTGGCCCATGGCCTTCTAGATAAGCATCCCACAGCACTTTTTTCCTGGATTGTACCCTCAAACACTTCAGTGAGTCTTATGTTGGTCTCACCCAACATCCTATAAATCCTTAACAATGTCCGTTGTTAACCCATTTTAGGTTTATTAGCCAATCTTATTCTGGATAGAAACCAACAGACCAACAATTCATTTTCAATACCCGCTGAAATTGTATAATCCATATTAGTGATCATAGCACCTTTAGCTGCCAGAGAGATCCTCCATCACTCAACTACTTTTCCCAAGAATCCTTTTTAACAAGTCATCCTGGGTGTTTTCAAGACTTCTCCTCCCCCCTCCATGATTCCATCTGCCCTTTTTTCTCCTATGAGAACAGTATCCTCTGAGAAGCTAAACCATCTTCTGTTTCCTGCATGTTATTGGCAACCAAAGTACAGAATTAGAACAGTAGGTTTGGGTGACTTGTAGTTTCTGCCTGCCCCAAGTGGTCTGACAGAGTTGATATGCTCTGGGTCCCATTGATTAAACAACAGGACTCAGGAAACAGGCCTTGTCTGTCATGGAGCCTGCCCTCCAGAACAACTTTCTCCCCAAGATTTGTATGGCCTCTATCCTGGCCCTATTGAAATAAATCTGGCTTTATCCCTAGGCCCTGGATTAGAGTGGGTGATGGACTCCTGATATGATGTTTTGATTTTTAACCTGATTGTTGATTTTTTCCCTGCACATTCTTTTTTGATGACATCATTCTTCATTCTTTATTTATGTTCTTTATTGTTAGATTTTGCAAGCAGTCCGGGGTGGTAATAGGCAGCCTATAAATCTGATAAAGAAGTAAATATTCTGCCTCCTCCAGACTCTGCATGGCTGGAGTATATATGAGCAGACGGCATCAAAGCCATGATATCTGTAGGCTTGTCACATTCAGTATTCCATATTCCATTTCCTACCATGGAAAAACTATCCATCACTAATACTGCTACACAGATCCTGCAACTTACCTTTCTTGGTGGCAAGGTTTTCTGCTTCCTCAGATCCCAAAGAACCAATTATTCTTTTCGTTTTAATTTTAAAGTTTTTATTAGACTAGGAAATATAATTTATTGCATAAAAATTAATTTGTTACAATAGGAATGCTAAATTTATTTACAATTCTTAGTTTACAGAATAAACAGAGTGTTTTAGAGGATGCTTCCAAAGCCTGCCCCCTCCCCAAGAAAACAGAAATCCTCTGGAGGTATAAATATTGAAATAGAAGGAAAAACTAGAGAAAGATGAAGGTCACTCTTGAAAAGATAAAAGGTAAAAGAAAGTGTGGACTTCCTTTCAGCAAAATGCTGAATTTCCCAGTTCTGGGGTATCTAGTACCAAACACACCTGGAGAGCGCCTGCTTGGGGTATCCCTCCCTGTTTTGTCACTCTATACCAGTGTTTCTCAGCCTTGGCAAATTTGAAAACGGAGTTGTGCCCTCACCCTACAAATCCCCCTCCGCCCCAGCAGTGATAGGAGCCTGTCTTG